CACGGCCTGTCTCTACCCATCCGTCAACTACTTGTCCACCCCTTCCCTCAACCATCCAAACACTCTCTGCGACCAAAGCACCCGAACCCACACCACCGACACCCACAACACCACCACTACCTCCACCTCAACCACCACTTCCACCAAGAAATCCATTCCTCCGATTCGAGACCTCAGACCAGACTTTGTCTCAAAACAACTCTTTTTAAACGATTAAACCATAAAACTATTGATTCATTTGTTATTCAACTATTCAGTCGTTAAGACAATCACCAAATGTTTGCAAATTATTTTAAATTATAAAATGTTATATCAATTTGTATTACGAAAATATAATGAACTAATAAAATGATTACGAACTCTCCTACCATTAATTTGATACCTTATTTGACACCAATTTATAATTTCGTTAACTGTCGTTGCCATCCCTTCCCTCAATATTGTCAATAGATATCCCTATACAGTATCGTATTAATCAATTCATGCTATGGTTAACTTCAAATCTCTAATTCTTGAAATATTGAAAATATATTTAAATTTTCCATATAAACAACATATTAATTGTACGGTATATATTTTAGATAATTGTACGTATTATAAGTTTGGGATACAATTTAATATAATATATTATTTCGTATATAATTTACACTATTAGCCAAATCATAAAATTGATACCATAAGTGTAGGTTGAATTTTATTACAATACAGTACTACCTTTCCAATGATACTGTTTCTAATGATTAGATTGTGAGTCTAATGAATCATTAGTAATACAGTACTGTATATGACTTTCTGTGCCACGATCAGTAACAATCACTTTCAGTACAGACTACTTGACAATAAAGTAAAGTGTTGTCTGTTGTGGTCTATCACCATGGTGGACCAATTTTGGACAAAATGTTTGTAAATATACTTGTAACTCCACACTACTGTATTTAAACATCACTTTTCTATAATCCCATTCATGTACTCTTTCTTTATTTTGCGACAGAATTTTATACATTATTTTACTGTAAATATAATTCTCTACTAGAATATACTAGCACATAGAAATATTACAATGGTTTTTTAATAGAAAAATCATTTACACATGAAAGTCAGACAAAAACTATTCTATTACTGATTGATGATAAATGAAATTTATGTTACAGTGATTTGAAAATAATATTATATTATGAGCTATTGATTTTATCATGTTATAATTCAGTTGTAAATGTGTGCAGATTTTCAGTAACAATAGTGTTGTAATGAAAACAAATCCTTATATCATTTTATACGATAGACTATTTTAATGTGTTTTATACAGTATTATATTAATAATTAATATGTTACATTTCGTAATCAACAGTAATTTATTGCGCCAACTCATATAGTGTGTTAACAATAGCCCAAGTATACTAAATGGGTCCATACAGTAGATAATCGCCCTGTTTATTTCTTAATAAGTAGTATTAAGGAATAATACAGTATAATATAAAATGAGATTCACCCAGAAATATGAAGCTTTTTACGGTAAATATGTTTATGTAGAGTATTATTTAGTGAGTTCTGTTTTGTTTTGAAAATTGTTTACATTCATTTCATATCATAAATCTATAAAAACAACATTTTATTTAAACTAAACAAACAAATTCTGAAAATTGAATTAATATATATTTTTAAGAATTTCGTTTAATACATTAAAGTGACAACAATTTATATGATTGCAAAATGTTGTCTCGACTCATGAGAACCATTGTGGCCACATTACTTTTCTTAATACCGGGGTATTACTTTCACTAATGAATAAGATATGCAAATATAATTACTGTACCTATACCGTATTCTACAAATATAAATTCTAGTGTAAATCAATATCTTACAGTCTGTATATACCGTACTAAAGAAATGCGACAAGTTTAAATTCTTAGTGTTTTCATTATTTTTGGGATTATCTATCTCTTCCACTAATAAAATAAGAAGATTTTAATTTAATTATTAGTTTTTGCTATTTTTAATAACATTTTTAAAATTATGTTATGTCACTATAATATAGTATAGCTATAAGAGCTACTTAATAGCCGATTATTATAAACGATTGAGATTATGAAATATTAAATGGTTGCTAAAGGTAATTATAATTAAGTATGGCAATGCAGTAATAGCATTAACATTGTATTGGCAAGACAATCTTTGTAGTCCAAATTTAGCTAATTTCTATTCAATTTTTAATTATATTTTAAACAAGTTTTGCAGACTTGTTTGCAATAATTATAAGTTATATTTTGAGACATAAGTTTGATTAAATCATGAGAATTTATTAATTGTGTATTAATTATAGAATACAACAAAATTATGGTAAAATATTACAAAATGGATTAAATTATTCATAAATTAAACGCTTATAATATAAATATTAAATGTAATTAAATACTTTTAATTTATTTAAAGGCATAACCAGTAATTGAAAATTAATGAAAACCCAAGAATATGAAAATTTTACTTTACATTTGAGTAAATATTATAGTGATAATATAGTGGTAATAAAGTGATAAATGAAAGTAAATGTGATAAATGATTAAATAATTACCAATGATGAGTAATATTTGGCATACGATCGGCGCTATTAGCTAAGCTGGGTCTACAATGCTGTCCAAAATCGGACTGTAATGTTGACCAAACCCTGTCTGAAGTGTTGGCTAAAGCAGGTCTGCAATGTTGTCCCTCTGTTTGTATGGACGGCCACACTCTGTCTGAAGTGGTGGCGAGAGTTGCTCTACAGTGTTGTCCCGAATCTATTTGCAGTGTCGGCCAAACTCTGTCGGCTGTATTCATGAGACTGGAGCGGCAGTGTTGGCCCGACTCTATCTGCAGTCCAGGCCATACACGCTCTGCAGAGTTGGCTAAACTAGACCTACAGTGTTGAGTTGAGTCAATTTGTAGGGCCGGCCAAACACGTTCGGTGGCATTGGTAAGACTTGACCGGCAGTGTTGACCCGATTCTATCTGCAATGATGTCCAAACTCTGTCCGAAGTATTGGTCAGACCTGGTCTGCAGTGCTGATCATTGTCTGTCTGTAATGCGGGCCAAACTCTATCGGCTGTATTTCTGCAGTGTTGTGCCGATTCAGTCTGCATTTGAGGCCAAACTCTGTCTGTATTAGAGTTGAGTCCACTTCTGCAGTGTTGGCCCGATTCAGGAGGAAGGGGCCAAACGCGCTCTGATGTGCTCACCAGAGAGGGTCTGCAATGTCCGACACTATCTGTTTGAATGGTTGGCCAAACTCTATCCGATGCAGTGGTAGGGCTGGCTCTGCACTGTTGGTTCGCATCATTCGATGCATTTGTTTCTGTGTTTCGACCGCTCATTGAGTGATCGCTTTCAGTGTTTTGTGGGTTCGAGTAGTTTGTGGTAACACTGGAAGAAGAGGCAGAACTGGAGGCCAGCATTGGTTTCAATGGTTTCCTTCTTCGGGGCTGATATTTATACTCCGGAAAGTCTTTCTTATGTTTGCAGCGAAGTCTTTCCGCTTCTATAATGAAGGGCTTCTTCTCATCGTCGCCGAGAACTCTACTGAAACACCAAATTTAGACAAATTATGATTTAATGAGCAAATAATGGTAACTATATGACAGTGAATGGTGTGAATGCCATACCTCCAGAGTTTTCCCAGAGTTTTGCTGAGTTCTGCGTTATGGATGTGCGGGTGTTGTTCAGCGAGTTTCCTACGGGCCGCCTGAGCCCACACCATAAAGGCATTCATAGGACGCTTCACATGAGTCCTTTGCTTAGTACTAGTGGTCTGTCTGTTAGTCCGGGCCACTAGTGACCAGTCATAGCTCTGCAGAACCTTTGACACGGCGTCCTGAATGGCTGGGTTCGACTCAAACAACTCGTTGGGCACGACCGACGAGTTCTTGTTCAGTGAACCGCTGGCCACCGCCAACTGTATTGATATAGTGTTGCGAGAGGTGTGAGTCGTTGTCGCAGAAGAACTGCTTTCATTAGCACCAGAATTAGTGGTCACAATGGATGACCCAAAGTCTGTATGAAGGGATTCACTGGAATTATTCATTTGGAGATTATATTCACAAAGTTAGGAATTTATATGAAAATATGTTTTTGTAATCAACTTTTCATTTCAAATTCACTGATTGTTTATCACTTGTGATGTGAATATACGCTTAAATAAAGTGTAATAACAAATATTGATCACTCGTTGCAGAGCTTTAAATCAAAAGCTATGATATTATGCGGACTGAGAGGTAGAGAAGCGACGAATTCCGACGATTCCAGTACTCAAGTGAAGTGATAGTAAGCACAGCCTCTCTGACAGGCAGTACACCAACCAATGTGGCACTCGTTGTGGAACTGGCACTCACTCTGGCAATGGCTTTGGCACGGCTTAGGCATTGCTCTCTTCCTTATGCACCACAACTATAGTCCAAAATTAAATTTAAAACTTTCAAACACTGCTAACACTTTGATTTCATTTTCCATGTTTTGCTAATTTAGTTAAACTTTGATTACTTCATGACTTCTTCATAACTTTAAATGAGTTTCCGTTAAGTTTATTATTAGTATTGAAACCGCTTTTGCCAAAAGAACTTAAACATCGAAACTATTGCATTGCATTGAGTTTTGTTTGTTATTATATTAGTTTTATTAGAGTAAACATTCTTCAAAGGTATAACCAAATCATAAGTAAGACCGCTAACAGTTATGCCAACAGTAATTAACTTTAAGTTTCATATTAAACACTTTTTAGATGAAAACATAAGTCATGCCATGTGTTTAGTCAATCAAATAACTTAGTTTAGAATGAATTCATTTCAAAGGTATTATAATAAATATCAAGAATTGAGTGACAAATTGATGATAAAACTGATAATTTCATTAATATCTCATGTGTTAGGTCAGTGTGTTTTGACTGTAATTATATAATAGTGTAGTTATTAATACAAGCAATGTTTGTATTATACGATCAATTAAGAGTCAATTGAAGGCATAGGCAATCAAAGAAGCACTTTATGTTTGGTTAACAACATTATTATTGAATCTCAAAATAAAGTCTTCATTCACTGATTCAGTCATTCAGTCATCAGTGGTGTGAGAGTGTGTTTGTATTGACACTACTGTCAAACATATTATGGCATAAAATACATCTTTTTAGCGATAATTTAGCCGCTCGTATGTCGTGTTCAAAGGATGCCTTTTTCTCTCAATTAAGTTACAATTTAACTAAAAGTTAGTCATAATATAATATACATTACTGTACGACTGTCAATGTATTGCCTGTGCTCAGGGATGGTTATGATTGCGAGTAGATATGAAACTATTTGGCTTAGGTTACCACAAATTTATAACAGTTTCATTGCTTAGATATGTCTCCGATAATAACAACATTAACAGTGCTTTCATTATATCTCTAATTATCATCGCCTCAATCGATTCATTTCATAATTAATAGTTTGAAGTATTTATTAATAAGTAAAAGTGTCGTCAAATTAATTGAATGCAAGTCTTCGAAGCAATCGACAGAATAGTTTGTCAAAAGAACATATGCTTTGGTTTGTGGTATAAGTTTACAAAACAATGGCTTTCTGTGTTTTGGGACTGTTTTTGCGTTTAGCCTAACATTGTGTTCATCACAAGAGATGTATAAGTTTTGTTGTGAACTGAACGTAGAGTTAAGGGATGCTCTGTATGGGAGAGCATTGAATGGAAACAGTGAATGCATGGAGAGATGTGGTGTTTGTGGTGCCTGTGCTCCCTGTGCTGCTCAGGCACCTCATGCTTATGCCAAATAAGTTGCTTCTTGTACTGTAGTGATGGGGCGGATGCGATGATATCGTGAAACTAAATCTCAGTCAAAGTCTGTTTCTTAAAATTTTCCGCAGTTTTCAGTTCTCAATCTTCAGTAGCTATGAATATATACCAAAATAAGAGACTATATAATAGTTTACATGTTTTGCAACTAATGATTGTATAGATTCTAAACTTTTAAATCCTATAAAAATGAAATCTATTTTAGTCTTTCTTAATGATTATAACTCTAGAAATTAGCGTTTCATTCAAGTCATATGTTTCATCATTTGAAACAAAATTTGACTTATTTTTCAGTGAGAAATATATGTAAATGTATGCGACTGTCAATGGATAGGATTTAGAAAAACTTGTAATTCACTACTTTTTGTATGACATGTGAAAACACGAATCACAAACAGATTATGTGTAAAGCATTTCACATCACATCCAACACTACCTTTGAGTACAAACTCAACAAAAGAGTCGTTCAATCTCTTCATCTCTCTCTCTCTCTCTCTCTCTCTCTCTCTCCCAGTATTGCTGTGAAATACTTTATACTACAAGAATTCCATTGCATATCATTAGACTGGCTTCGTTGAACACTACATTATACGACACACTACTTGGCCACAGACACACACCTTTCCTATTACTCCTTTTACCAAATTTTGAAATCATTTATAAAACTAATATTAAAATATCTACGAAATGTTTTCTGTATACTAAAACATTTAAAATGCAATAAAACTGTAAGAGAAAGTCCTATTCAGTAACGAATAAATGAATTGAACGCTTGGAGTACATAGACTTGAAGTGATTTGTCAAATAAGTTGACGAGAAGTTTGAATCAAATGTTGAGGAATTCTTGCTTCACATATGCAATTGGAAGTTGTGTGACATTTAACAAATTCATGACAAGTGAATTAAGTGCAGTTATTCTGATTATTTGCTTCAACCATAAGACTCATCTTTGTTTCAGATATTGGGCTCACTTTGAAAGTGCATAACAAGTGAATAATTTTCATGTGAAGGAGTGTTACTTTTGACAAGACTTCCACAACTATTTAGATCTTTACTGTTCGACCACAAAGTGAACAGTTTTTATGGTTTAGACTTCACTAAAGCAAAGGCTTCCGAAACTGATGTGCAAAAGAGACGAATAAATGTTGCATTGATTCACAAAATCTATTTTAGACTCTTGTAGTCATTATACGCTATGTTTTTGCTGAACCCTTACTAATGAATACCTCTAACAGTATATCCTTTATATGAGAATATCATTCATTTTTTGCAATGTATTCCCATTCCGACACTTAATATAGAACTCATAAATTAATGTCACATCCATTGAGAACCTATACTCCTATCCACTCTACTCTACAATACTATAGTTTCCTTTATGTAGTGTTTACTCCTATTTACTGTCGTCTCAATTATTTCAATTGATTCGTAAAGACCGCGATTTAGAGATTTTAATTCACAATAAATGGTTGTATGGCTTGTAATTTGAAACAATTATATGCGAGAGAGAAGTGTAACACTTGTACCGCAGTATGAGTTATGACACACTTATAGTATTATATGATTGCAAACGAACGGCAGCTAAAAAAGTGAACAAAACGCGGCTTTGATGTTTGGCTAAAACTATCATTTCTTTGTATTAAGAATAACAACATTCGCATTGATATCACATAAACACTCCTTTAGGCTATCACTCGGCAAATGCTTACGAATTTGAATACTTAGTTATAGTTATAGTTAACTCAGTTATAGTGAAAGCGTTAAATTGAAAATAATCATTGTTTTTGTATGAGACCTTTCATCATATTTTTTGCTATTGAAATATAACACGTAATACCAGTTAACCATTATTATTACAAACTATCGCAACACTTATGTTCAAGAATATGATGGCATTTAATACTTTTGGGTGGTATCACCTTAAACACCATCTCTTCCTATTATCTAAACGCCGCCATAATCTCTGCCATACTATTCATGCCTTCAAATCACGACATAATTCCAAATCCAATAGGAATTGCATTACTTTTTTACAAATCTCTCTCTAATATAATGCATAAAATTGAAGAATTCAAACATTACTTCATTATATGGTCGGAGCAAACATTTCTACCATTTCTACCATTTCTATGCAATGTTTGCATTCATTGAGTGATGCCTTATATCCGCATTCATGTTCTCTGAATACAGTTATTAAGCATCGGGTATAACATACTATGATATATTAATATGTTTAGTTAGAGTCAATCCTTAAGTAGAACCGTACAAATATTCACTTTTACACTAATTATAACTATTTCTGCATATTATTCACATATTAATTATTTTCATTTTCTTAAAAAGAAGATAAAAATTCTTAAGTAATCTTATCGACACTTTTCAAAAATATGTAAGTAATGAGTGATCATAAGGACTGAAAGCATTAAATGACTTATTTAGCGTTAATTACATTTATTTGTGATAAAATTTGATTGAAAACACGTCAAATATGGGAATGTTTGTCATAAACAAAATCAAGTCCCAAAGAATTACAAACGGTATTTGAGTCATAATAAACATTCACATAAAATATATAACGATGAATTGGCGATAAACAATTTAACACATTTTAATTTTCTTACATTATACAAATTTCTAATAAAAGACTAATTGGAAAATCATTTTGGATTGATTTTCATAAATACAAATTGAAATAGAGATTATATCATATTATGACAAAGCTAGTTATCCCACAATTAATATGTAATGATATTTTAAACCGTATATTAATGTTAAAATTATAGCTAATCAGATTGATGTTTAAAATTATTAGTGAGTGTAACAAGCAATTAATTAAGGAGTTTAAATATAAAATTACTGGTTTGAAAGACACAATCATTTATGGTTGGCTACAATCGCTATCATATAATAATTGGTTTGAAATTCTATTCAATTTGATGATGTCTGAGAGCACTTAAGATTTAAAAGTTTTAAATTCAATTATTTGTAAACATTGGTGTAATTCTAGTTTTATTGTCAATTCATTAGAATATTTAGTTTAGATTCAAGAATAAGCGCTAAAAAGCAGTACAAGTGATGTGTCTATAAAAGAGAGTGAATTAAGATTTAATTACTGTATGAGTGGAAAGTAATAGTCTGGACGTCAAGCATATGTGAATTCAATGCAATCAAA